ATTAAATGATCTGTATGTAGCCCTGTACTATGGATCATTTAACCCATTCATGTTAGCAGAGGATCATTGTAAATGTATTGTTGCAGGCACTCTATATGTACATGTACTATATACTACATATAGAATGCACTGAACAATAGATTTACAATTATCCTCTGCTAATATGAATGGGTTAAATGATCCGTAGTACATGATATGTAGCCCTGTACCCCCTTTTCCACTTACAGAGCTAGGTTAATTTTTTTCTTTGAAATAAATATTCATGTAATTTTATTGGTATCTATCTTCATTTTGTACATTTACCAGTAGCTGGGTCATTTCCCACCCTAGGTTTATACTCGAGTCAATATTTTTTTCCAGTTCTTTGTGGTAAAATTAGGTACCTCGGCTTATATTCGGGTTGGCTTATACTCTAGTATATTACTATCTCCCGCTACTGATTCTGTTGCTAGTGACAACTCACCCACTACAGAATCTCTAAAACTCCATATACCTTCTCCATTGTTATCACTCCCTCGATGCCCAAGCCAGTGAGTTGTTGTCCCATCACTGTAAGGGAGCATCTTTCATTATGGAAAGGGGCAGACATATTACAGGCATTCTGCTTCAAGTGTAGTGTCCCCAGCAACGTATGTCTGTGACAGGGCCCTTGCGGTTAAGGAAATCAAACCCTCAAAAAGGATCATTTGGAAACAAACATTCCACCGCTTTTCAATCTTTAATAGGTCTCGGGCAAACTTATTATTAAAACAGTTTTAGAAATCAATAAAAACTTCCATCATTTTGATTGCCTGGTTTTTTGAAACCAAGGAACAATAAAGCCTGTGTATGGAGGATTGCTGTGAACTGTCCAAATCCATGCAATCAAGTTTTCAATTAAATGTAAAGTTCCCAAAATTCCAGATTGTTTGGTAAGCAATAGAGTGGGCTGGTGAATGCCTGTCCAGGTTAATCTGGATTACCTTACGTAATTATTGGTCTGTTTATGTCGTTAAAGGCATGCATTGTGAGCCAGATAATAATACATTGGGCAATGACAACGGCTTTCCTAAAAAAGATCCCCTCACCAGATCTTCTAATCTAATTTTCCATAAATATTGTATTATATCCCAAAACATAGCAAAGCCTTCACTGATTAAAACTTATAGTGGGTGAAAAAAAAAAAGGTTAACTTACACTCCATTTCCTTTCCATGTCCAAACTGTTGCAGGCTGGATATTAAAAAAAAAATTAATCAATTAATACAATTTTTTTAAACAAAATAAAAATGAGAAGATGACCTGGGGCCTGTGGTGATAATAAAGATGACACTTTGAACTATAAAATTAAGTCAGCTAGAAAATCAATGTCTCTGAAGCAGAGCACTAAGAAGGAAGTCTTGTGGAAACCAGATAGACCTATATACTTTCTCCAAAAACCCCTTTCCCAACATCTTGATGTCATGTGATATATTTTCCTAAAGACCATTTTAAGACGGATTATAGATTTCCTGGACATCAATAGGCATTAGCTTGATCTCTCCTTGGTGACATTTTACATCAGCAATATATGTTTCCAATCCCTCCAGTAAGAACATAACTGGATTCCCCCTCCACCAGGGCAGAGACTGTCATTGTTTTGTGGGACTGTGACATTGACGGTCAATGCTAAGCCTGATGAAGGGACCCTGCGTGGCCCCAAAAGAGCCTGTTTTCACTTGACATGGTTCTTATTAAATGAACACATGGTTAAGCACCCTCCCCAAATGTT